GATGAGGGTAGTGGAGCGGTGGTGGTGGTGGTAGTGGCACAGTGGTGGTGGTTGAGGTGGTGCAGCACTAGTGGTGGTAGTGACGAGGATAGTGGTAGTTGTGGTGTAGTGGGAGCGGTGGAACGGTGGTGGTGGAGCGATAGTGGTGGTAGTGGTTGAGGTGATGGTAGTTGTGGTGCAGTGGTAGTGGAGATGGTGGTACGGGTGGTGGAGTAGTGGTTAAGCGGTGGTGGTAGTGGTGGCGCTGTTGTGGTGGTGGTGTTAAATTGCCTTGAATGGTAAAGTTTTTATCAGGGTAACTTGATGTAATTGGTATTACATGTGCTTGATGGGCAATACATGTATTTTTTTGATATAATGAATATTACATCAAATTAAGTAATGAAAATTATATATGTATTCTCAATTACATTATATTGTCCAGAAAAAATCTAACCAAAATCAATCATGTAATCCCCTTTCATTACATGGTTGATTACATCATACCAAACATGGACTTAATTTCTTTTTTAATTCCGTACATAAATATTTTGTTCTGTTTCTCTTCGAAAAAGTTCGAATGATTTTGATATAACAATTAGTTTGATATATTTTACCGAGAAGATCTACAGTACTTTCTGAATTATGAAAAATTTTATTTTCTTAGATTTTGAAATAATTTGTCTGGAGATTTTGAAATCTGTTTAGTAGTTTTATAAAGTCTTGATTTCGCTAAATAATTTTGTTTTTGCAGGCTATTGTTTCTGTCTATGAGGTTGAGAGAGAGATGGTAAAAAATTTGTGCAATTTTAGCATAAAACATTTTTAGATTTATATCTCACTGCCTCAATTATTTATGTGAGTGGACATTATATGTACCTCAGTTTTGCTGGACCCTTTCTGATTTGATCGCGGACATGCATAACTATTATAATGTAGGAAGAGGAAACACCCCTTTTTTTTTTTTTTTCAGAGAACACCGATATGATTCATTTAAAATAGACATATAATACACAGAAATGTGAATATATATATACAAACTATATACACAGAAATGGGAATAGTAATATAACGCCTCTACATTAGTACTATATATAGCAGTAGTATTATATTGAAACTTTTATTAGTTTTTCCTATTTACTTAGGAGGCGGTGTAAACCAAATATAAAAATTAAAGATCAAGATTTTTACCTAAAAATGCGCAAGGATGACCATGATTTTTGGTACTATTGATCTCAATATATTAAAAAATCTGAAATTGAAACAAACCTCTAGTATAAAAATCACCTCGCATCAAACTTATTGCCGTCAAACGGTTTTGATTTATAACTTGTAACTGAAACCATGAAATTTTATTAGTTTTTTATTTATTAGGAGGCGTGTAAACCAAAATAAAATTAAAGATTACCTAAAATAAGGATGACCATGATTTGATTTTAAATTAAAATTGAATTGAAACCAAACCTGTTAAAATCTGCATCAAACTATGGTCAACGGTTTCTGATTTAAACTGTAACTGAAACTGTATACTTAAAGCTCGATTCCAATTTTTCATTTTTTGAAATTGAAACCGATGGTTTTGATTTAAAACCAAAAGTTCTCGTTTAAAATCATAAAAAATATGTTTTTATTTGTTTTATTATTATTTTTTAAAATAAATTTTAAGAATTTTTAATAAATTAATTTAGTGTTTTTTCAATAGTGATATTTATTATTATTATTATTTACACACTATAAATCTAAAAAAAAAAAAATAAAAAGATTGAAATAAATTATCTAATTTCGATTTTAAACTGGAATAAAATCTGAAGAACTGCTTAAAAGTGGTTTGGTTCCGTTTTCATTTTCTTATGATTGGAATCGACGGTTTTAGAACTATGGTCAAGCCTAATATAACAGAGGATAATTCTCCTGTAGTTTACTAAATTGGTCAAAACTCTAATACTCAAGAGAATTCAAACTTAAAATTTTTCACTCTCCATGCACCGAAAAAATTAATTATACCATGCATGATTCGCGAAATTCTATTAATTTATGTTGTTCTAGACATCACTATATATATTATTAATTACAAATTATATAAGTGAACAAAATGTCAGATTCCCAGACCTCAATTAATGTTTATACCAAAGTCTCAATTGTCAATGTAAAATATACAAATTGCTTGAATGAGGCTCAATCATTCCTTACCATTAATTTTTACACGACTGCCTCAACAAGCTGACAGCCAGCAAATACACATAATTTAATCATGAGAGTTTGTCAATATTGTAATATACCTATAAATTACTTATATAGCCAGCAAATATCTATAGCCAATTTGTCATAAGATATATGTGTATGATGTGTTATTCGGCAATTATGTTTTAATTGAGTATTTATCCTATAATTCAAAAGATTATATGGTCTTTGAAATACTCATTTAAAAGATTCTTATGTATTACAATATTAAATATTTATTTTTCTAACTTTCTTGATAATATAAAAAATAATTAAAAGATTTTACAATATAAATTATATATTTATAACTATAATTAACATTTTTATTATACATATAAACTTATGTAAAGAGTAGGAGGTCATGAATTTAAGTCCTCCAAACTATAAAGATTTTTCACTAATATGATGAGTTAAGTGAAAGATTAGCCTCCTATTGTGTACCCTATAATGATATTTCTGCTCATTGAGCCTATAAATGAATAAATTTTTTTTTTATTTTTAAATAAAAATTAATTGAAAATTGACCTTAATAGAATAAAAGGGATCTCCCACTAATCAATTGAATAATATAAAAGAATAAGAAACTGGGTCAATATCTACCGTCTTTATGGTGGACCAAAGTCCTAATAATATCATCTCTTACCTAAAGAGACCTTGGTGCTTAGAGCCTCAAAAAGTTATCATTGTGTTTAAGACAAACATAATACTATAATAGAAAAGTAAATTTAGCCCTACTCTAATAGATTAAGTCTATGTTTAGCATTCTATAGGAGATAGCATTTTTAATATTTAATTCTCAAATCATAGTTTCCCTAATACAATATAAGAAATAAGAAATTAATATAAATAAATAAAATGCAATTTTAAAAAAACATCTCCAAAAATACTCTTAAAAAAAGAACCTAATGCTCCCAAAAAATTGAGAATATTCAACTTTATGACAAAATTTCCGGACAAAAAAATTGTCCATTTAATTATGAGGGTAGCTGGATATATTTGACCATTTGATTAATTTGTGGATCTCTTTTATTAGAAAAAATGTTGGAGAAAAATAAAAATAAATCATATTAATTACTAGCTCCTGGCATTAAAGAAGTTGGTAAGGTTTCACAATTCAAAATCTCATCCGTGGTTTAGTAAAAATCTTCCCCACTTTTCAGTAATCCCTTTGTCTCAAAATATAATCGTTTTTAGTTTATTATTTTATTATAAAATATAAATTATTTTTTGTATTTTAAGAAGTAATAAATGATATTTTTTCAATATTACTCTTATTTACACTAAATACAATAAATACTTCACCAGTAATTATTGATTTTGAGATAAAGGATATTTAAGAACAGTAAATAAATCGATTATTTTTCTAATAATTACGAAATGATATTTTTTCAATATTACTCTTATTTACACTAAATACAATAAATACTTCACCAGTAATTATTGATTTTGAGATAAAGGATAATTTGTCAAAATTACCCTTGAATTTGTTATAATCTTGGACAATTAGTTACTTCCTTAATCTTTGTGCAAAAACCTTAAACGATTTATATTTTGGAACATTAATTTTTGTGCAAAAACCTTAAACGATTTATATTTTGGGACAAAAGGAATACCATTCTCTCGTTTCATCAAACTTATCGGCTTTTAATTTTTTTTTCTATTTTATTTTAACTCTACTTTATCTAGATATATGCTTCAAATTTTGTTTCAATTAAATCATTGTTAATTAAGGAGGTAAATGAGTGAATTAAGACAAATTTAACGGACAATAATTAAGTTGTTAATTGGTAGTCTTTTCAATGTCTTGCAATAATTATTAAAAGGAAAGGGCATTAACTATTTACCTAGCTAGCCAAAAAAAAAAAAAAAATCATTTAACTATTTACCTAGCTAGGCCAGAAAAAAAGAAAAAAAAAATACACAATTAAGTAAACATATTATAGCAATTCATTCAAATGTGTGAAGCTTATATATACATTGATAAACAATTAGAAATCTCAAATTAAAACTCATCTTTTGCATTAACATCCAACTTAATCCCATTAGTAATTTTTGGTACTTTATAATAAGATAAAATAAAGAGCAACTTTCCAGGTTAGCTCAAACAACCGTGCACCATTACCATGACCCAACTACACCTCCTCCAATTAAAAAAAAAAAAAAAAAAATACACAATTAATTACATATATAGTCATTCATTCAATGGTGGAATATATATAATTGGAAAAATTAGAAATTCAAATTAAAATTTTGCCATTTTTGCATTAAATCAATTAAAATTAGTAATTTTTTGGTATATAATAGAAAAAAAGAGAACTTTCCCAGGTAGCTCAACAACCTGCAATTAGCATCCCAATACACTCCAATAATGCAAGTGTCAAACTTGCAAATATTAAAAATAAGGAATTTCACAGCCTTGACAGAAATCATTATATACTTAATAAAGTCCATTGAAGCTGTCTTTGTCTTGTGTGGTCCAGTAAATTATCTTTCTCCCCACATGGGGTAATGTAAGCTTCACTCATATTCTCATGCCTTCACATGAAATACAGCAAATATAAAATATATAAAATACTACAAATTAAATTAATTATAACATAACTCAATCAAGTGTGATATGTGAAGAGTGTAAGATCTCAAATTCAAATTTTTTTATTATAAATATTTTTATCAATTTAGTAAATTCAAGAAGACTATCCTCTATTGTATAAATCGCTTACCGGATCTCTTAAAGAATAAAAAAAATAATTATAACATAAACATCCACAATAAAAGTCAAAACCGTCTAATTGATTCACTAATGAAACAAAAACAGGCTACCAAATCTTTAATTCTTTTTTTTTTTTCCAAGTTATATTAACATATTACAATAACTTAATTATGCTTTTGGGGACATATACTTCAATTCTTGTCCTCACATACGAAGAAAAAAAAAAACCCAGAAAAAAAAAATTAACAAAAACAAGCAAGGTAGTACTTAAAATACCTTCAACTTATACAAGAACATGAACCCAAATCCCAGAAGATGATCTTAAGTTTAGCGAGATCGACGGCGAGTAATTAGATCATAATTTTCTCTGCTTGATCTTGGAAGGTATACTATTGATTCAGAAACAGCACAAGTTCTTTTACAAGAAGTGTAAAGATTTATAAAACCAAACCTGTCACTAATGCTTCTTGACACCTTAGTACCATTCCAGAAGTTACTGGTAGATTCTTCATGATCATCATCACCCTTTGAACATTCTACTAATGCTGCGAAAAATGGATCCTTTCTGAAATTCTCATTGGAAATCTTTTTTCGAATACCAGTTTCCTCTAAATTAAATCTTTTTGAGGCTTGAGGTAAGGCATGAGGAGGAGGCAATGGAAGGACTTTGACTAATGTGGAGTCCATTTTCTTATGACTTAAATTTTTAGGAATTCCTGGTAAATGTTCCCAAGAAAATGGGATTCCGGAAAATCGAAGTGGGGTGGCCGGACTAGAAGGCAAGTCATCGGGGAAATTTAAAGACGAACATGATGAAATGGAGGATGATGAGGAAATTGAAGGACTCTGACGAGAAGAATCACGTTTGGTTGCTGGAATTATAGTGTCACATTCCTTTAGAACATTTTGGGCATGGACATTAGGAGCTGCTGATGGGCAATCCAAAGTTTTAGAAGAAAAGAGGAAAGGCATTTTTGGTTGTGTAGTTTCAGTTTTAGGCTCTTTTTAATCTTTTATTTTTCTTCATCTACTTTGCCTACAAATATATATATAGAGACAGACCACATGTGGTATGGTGTGTATTTTTTAATGTCATAAGTTTTGGAAAATAGATGTTAGAAAAAGATATTATGCGCAAACAAAAAGACCCCACAATATTGATGGCAAATAGTAGGGAAGAGGAAAGGGCTATAGGGGCAAAATGGGGAATTAATTGAAGTAGAAGTGGTGGTGATAAAGCCAACTTCTCTGCGAGGGAGTGGTTGAAGGGATTATCCAAAATTTCACATGGAGCTTACCCGGTCTATATGGGGCCCCGTTAACCGATTCGTGTCAATTATTATTTATGAAGTGATAAGTGTATTGGAGCTAAGTTTAGTACACTGCTTTTACTACATATACCTTCAAGGGGATCAAAGTGTACCGTGTTGAAAACAAACATGCCGTTATATAAAATTATGTATATAGAATGAAATATGCATTTGTATTCATCATGAAAGTGGCAAAAAACATTGCTCTTGTACTTTATTAGAATTCCAATTTCAACCATAAAATCTAGGTGTTATAAAGTTAGAAAGCATAATAGATTATATGAAGGTCCCAAATTTACCTCCCCATAAGCCTATGTATGAGAAAGAAAAGAAAGAATGAACTCTCATATCATATTATAAACTTAAACAAGGTTAGAGAGGCTAATAAGTTTTAAGAAAGTCTCGAAATCTTTACATTAGCTTCTTCGATGTTCAATTCTTAAGCATGAAGGGAAAGCAAACAAAAGATGACAACCTATGGAAATGTGGAAGAGAAGAATTGAATGAGCATTTTAGAAGAATGTATGAACCTACTTTAAGAGGAAAATCCGATAGCACCACAAACTTTGCAAAAGATCTATTATGTCCCTGAATTATAAATTTTGATAATATTATATACCTCTTATTCTAGTAATAACAAGTTTGGCTTTTATATATATAATATTAATTTAAATGTGGTTAGTACAGTATTGAAATATTAATTTTAACATTTTGTAACTATCTATAATAAGTATTTAATTAATCTAATTTTACAAGTTGAAATATTCAATAGAATAATTTTTCATGTAAAATATAAGAGTGAATTCATGCATTCAGTGCATGAAATCGGACAACTATTTTTGGGCTCATTTTTTCCCCTAATCCCTGAATTATAATCCATATTTCTTAATTGTCCCTATATTTGAGTTTATTACTTAAAAATACATGAATTTTTATTGGACTAACACAAAAGCCTTTTTACCGGTTTTCCAATCAACTCCTGACAGAAAGTTGACATGGAATTAATTGGTTAGCAAATAATTGTTTGAGAAAATACCACATCAGAATTTTTTTTCTTTTTTCGCTTTCACCTCTCCTGCCTTCCTCTCTTTCCCATGAAAAGCAATGCCCCCTCTCCGATGTAAAATCCCTAAATTCATAAAAGAGAGAAATCCTTCTTCTCTAGTATTCTTTGTATTTTTATTATCCATTTATTAAAATTACCATTGCTGTTGAATTTATTGCTATTGTTGTGACCCGTACGAAGGGATAGAATTAAATCCATGGAAAAGACTCAAATTTGAAGGACCTTTTAAATCATTAGTGAGATTCATTGGTAGTTTTAAGGAAAAAGATGACCGAGATAGTATTGATTGATTATTCAAAGATTAAATTGTTTCTAAAAAACCCAAGAATTCCCCATCGCCACTAGAATAATGATAGTTAAAATTCGCAAGTGTCGAAAATGTAACAAGTAATAAACAAGAGAGTAGGAATATTATTTCCACAAGAATTATATGCCAAGTACGAATGTTATTTTAACTTACTATTTAAAATGCTCTGAAATTTTAGGTCTTAAAATAATATTATTATAGTGGGTATTGTTGACGCGTGTCTTTATGCCCCCGCCTGATCCAATGATGATACGAGGATGTGGAATGAAAGGTTAATGCTATCTAGAAGTTCTTGGTTTCTTTTCAATTCGCTACTCTCCTCACCTTCTTGCCTTCCCTCTCTTCTTCCCCCACCCTACACTAGCGCACGATCTGCCTCCCCTCGTCACTGCTGCGATGTGAGAAAGTCCACGCTAAGAAAGTCTCACATATGATAAAAGAGACGAAAGAACACTCCGCTGTTTCTCCTTACCTATTTTCTTTGTCATTCTTATTAGTCACATATTCAGTTAGTCAATCGTTTACCAATTGCTTGTCTGATGATTATCATTGCTATTGGTAAGGTTGGACCCGTGCGAAGGCCCTACTAGAATTAAACGCTCTATTGCCATGGATAAAGACTCATAATTTGAAGCAACACCTTATTAAGCGATCATTGGAATATGCGATCATCTTTCATCTCGCAGGCAGGGTCGCGAGAGGCGGCAAGTCGCTGACATATGCAGCGCATGACAAAACGCGGACCGTGGATGTGTCGCGTTCACACGCGGTGGTTGGGCCATTCAGTGGCCCTTGGCAGCAGCGATTCGAGTAGTCAATTGACTGCAATATCTACTTATGTACGACTCGGAACCGCCGAACTTTCTCGGAAGACGGACGCCATATACGTGTAGTGCGGGCGGTCCAAGCGATTGCTCATCGACCATGTGTCGAAGCTTCCATGCTATGTCATCACGGACGCGGTGCCACACACATCGGCTTATACGCGTGTGCTCTGTGGGAGCTATCACTGGGACTGATTCCATGTGCGGTTTTTATGCTCTGCGTAGCCGTTCTCGGAGTCGGTGTGCTGCGGAGGACTGAGATACGCAGGGACGAGAAGGCGAATCACGGTCGAGTGGGCGGCGCGTTAGTTGGGGGCTGGATTGAGACGCAGTTGGGGCACACGTACGGCCGTGGGTAGTAGCGTGCCCGGCGTGCGGCGTGCACGTTGGAGCTCGGATGGCGTCGATGGGGTGTGGATGCCGGGGGACGAGGTCTCTGCCGCTAGACGCAACTCTGCCAGTAGCAGTCTCGTGTAAGCGTCCGCTGCCGGGTTGCACTAAAGGTTATGTGCTACCGACGTGGTGCCATAGGTATTACGAGTCTGATCAGCATACCAGACATCAACTTGTAAGAATGCGTTAATAGTCTATCAGGTGAGCTCTGATCCTTCTGGGGTGGCCAGTGCGCCGGCGATCACACGTCGTGCTCTGGGCGCGACTGCCTAGTCTGCGCTCGCTGAGTAAACGTCGCTATGAGCAAGGGTGGGCTTAGTTTTGGACGAGTGCAGGCTGCGGTCCCGGCGGGCAGAAACCGCGGCTACGCTAGTCGGCCGGTTCGTAGTTTTCGACGAATTAGTTGCGGAGCGGCCGTAGCGTGTGCTACCCTTGATGGCGGCAGTGACCTGCCTGTTCCGATCCATGGGAGGCGGTTAGTTTTAACGGAAAAAGATTGACCGAAGATAGTATGTGATTGATTATTCAAAGACTTCAAAATCGTTTGCTAACAAATAAACCCGAAGAATTTCCCATCCGTGCCACTGAGAGATGAGATGATAGTTAAAATTCCTGAAGTGTCGAAAACTCGTAACAAGTAAATAATAACAAGACGAGTAGGCTAATAATTATCTACTTTCCACAAGAATTAATGCCCAAGCTCGACGAGATTTCGTTATTTTAACTTACGTATTTAATAATGCCTCTTTGAAATTTTAGGTCTTAAAAAAATATATTATAATTTGTCCGGTATTGTTGGACGGTTTGTTCTCTATGCCCCCGCCTGATCCAATTGATGATTACTGAGAGTGGATGTGGAAATGAAAGCGTAATGCTATCTAGAAGTCTTTTTAACTCACCAATGGATTTAATTATTAAAACTCTGACTCTTTAAGTGTTTCTTTTGACTGGTAACAGCAGTTTGCGTCACGCCAGCTATGATTGACTGGGTCAGAGTTGCGTCACGCAGCTATGAAGGTGCGTGACGGCACTATAGCTGCGTCACGCAGCTCTAATGAAACTCAGATTTGCATTCCGTCGTTAAGAATGACGACATGCCGTTTTATGCTAAATGACACGTAGTTGTGGTGCAACAAGTGAGCTGCGTAACGCGTCTGACTAGTTCCGTCACGCACCTAATGGCTGCGTGACGCAGCTATGCCCTGTTGCCCTACTTCTATAAATAGATCTTTTTCTCATGTTAAAAAACAACTTTGGTGAGCGTTTTAAAAACCCTAAAAACACACTTGCGGCTGCATTCTCCTTCAGAAGCTCTTTTGAGTTCGTTTGAAGGAGAATTGCCATTAGAGATCAATTTTAGGTGAATTAAACCAAAAAAAAAAAAAAAAAATCAAGCAGAGAAAAGAGTGAATATTTAAAGTCCTTGGTGACGAAGCTTCTGGATCGCCTTATCTTCGTTCGTTAGGGGTACCCGTTTACAACCATCTGAGATTAGGTACATTTCTTTACACTTTTTGTGATATATTAATATATATATATTATAATTTTATTGTTGTTTAGTAGTTTTATCTTAAATTTGAATTGTATCTGTTTGTTTTTTGGTCATTCACGATGTCCTACAATAATAATAAATAAAAAATGCTTTAAACAAAGTAATCTTTAAAAAGAGTTACAAGGATCAGAAGCAGTGTAGACGTGACCAGGCAGCCATGCTTAGTCCGTAACGGGCAGCTGGCAGTTGTTGGTGGACGGAAATGGTTCATATCCCAAATTTCGTTTCTTTACTAGACAGCCTGGTCAGCGCATAGGGCTGCGTCACACAAAAGAACATGCGTGAACGCACTCTTTCTAGGATTCAGAAATAATTTTCTTCATTCGAAAAAAATAGTAAATTATGTAAAAATAAAATTTAAATTTTTTCAATAAATTCGAAAATGACCAAATTATGAAAAGATTGTAATTGATTAAGTTAGAATATTAAAATGTGATTATGCATGATTTTGGTTTAGGGTTTTTTGGGTTCAAATTTTTAATTCAGTAGAATGTATTTCTTACGGTTCGGTTTGTGGCCGCCTTTAACCATAAGGCAGAGTCGAGTCTTTTATATTATTTGATATTAACTGTTTGGTTTTGGACGAGT